TGCCGTCGGGGCGCTGGTTCACCGGTTCCTCAGACATCCCAGCTCGCTTGCGGTGACCGTTTATGCTCCGAGAGGAGAATAAAGGCACAGCAGTTGTGTGCAGACGCAAACACTGCCAGAAACGCAGCCAGCATGGGTGAGGGCCAAGCAATTTGCACCCTTCTGTGTTACACAAGCTGACCTTATTTGAGGAGAGAAGGGGAGTGGGAGTTTTCCAAAGTCTGAGGTCTGGCTTGGGATATGCTAAAGACTTGCTTGTGTCAGGAGAGTTGGCAGTGGGTGTTCTGTACCGTGTTCTTTACCCAGCTGTTTGACAGTCTGAGTTCCCCTGAGCCAAAAGCCGTCTCTCTCTGGGTTCGGTTTCTGTAAATTTCAGATACTCTTTTTTGCCACCTCTACCTTTGTGTCTGAGGAAAAACCAGCAAACTCCTCTGTTCCTTGCTTTGTTGGGGAGACTGGACAATTTAGCAAATATAAGATGCACTGATGGGCAGTACCTAAAAGCCAAAATAAACATCGGTAGGATGTGAATTATCCATGTTTAGTGTGGGACAGAGTGATGGGCTAATCAGACTGGGGAGTTGTGGGAAGAGGTACGTGCACCAAACAGGTCATAAACAAGTTATGCTGCTGTTAGTGAGACATGTAATCTTTTTAATTCTAGGTTAGCTTTAAGCTGCTTCGGGCTTCTTTTGGAGAAGGTGCACAAGCAATGCCATGGTACATGTGGCGCTTAAAGATCCCTGATCACTTTTCATCAGTAAGATATTGACAGAGGTTTCCTGCCTCTGCAGGCTCAGATAATTACTCTGCTTCCTGAAATTTCTCCTGCAAGATGGAGATGGATTTAGGGCTGTTCTGTTTATTCTGAAACCAAGCTCCCAGAAAGTGCAGGCTGATTTTCGTGTTGCTTTTAGTAGGCTTTAGAAGTCCTCAGCTTGAAAAGTACAGCAGAAATGGAGTGTTAAATAACGTGGTGTCAGACATGGCATCCGTGGCACATATGCTGTAGCGGGGCAGAGGCAGCACAGAAAGTTTTGTTTGTGTCATCTATATCCTGCAGACCTGGGGTGTGTGCTGTGGGTTGGTTTGTCGTGGGGATGTCATTACAGGTTGGGGTTTCTCTTTTTTCCAGACATCCAGCATGCACAGAGCTAAGAGTCTTCCCACACTTTATTTTCAGATATCTCCCAGGCAAGCTGCAAGGTTGAGTTGTGATTTGTGGGGCAGTAAGGCCAGTGGAGTTTGTCCAGTTCTCTTAAACTACTGCTGTGCTGCTTAAAAAATGACTATCTGTAATTGCAGCCTATGCCTTGACTTTTAGGGACTTGCAAAACCAAGAGACAAAGTCAAAACTGAATGATCTGCTCTCTTTGTACTTCTTTAAGGAAATGTCCATGTGGGCATTGTGCACGCAGCCTCAGAGGTTCATGCAGCAGCCTTGGCTCAGCTGTGTAGGCGAGTGTTGCCTTGTCGAATTCCTAGGAGACAGGAGGTATGTCCTGGCTCTGCCCTAAACCTGAAGTGGGGCAACGGCGCTTCCTCTCTGCACTCAGGTACCATGTTCGAGACTTGCACCAAAAGGGAATTTTTCTTTCAAGCCTAACCCTGAGTAATCTTCAAAGCCTTGTTGACTTCATGGATTGAAAGGCTGACTTGTAGCCAGTGCTTCTTTGCTTAATTGCTACTCAGAGGCATCTGATTCTGCCACTGGAGGCCCGCTGAAAGCCGACGAGAGGAGAGCACCTCTGAAACCCACAGCTATTGCGTCCCGTGTAGCCAAGGTGCTCTCCTTGTCTGTCCTGTCTCTCCCCATTGCTCATGTCTGTGCTGCAGAATGAGCCCCTTTTCTGGCACAGCAGCTGCACGGACTGACTGTGGTGGTTCCGCGGGCTTCGCTGGGCAGCGGCCCATGAGGCAGAGATGACTTGTGCTGGCACGGGGTAGACGTGCGTGTCCCTGACCCACACAGCTGCAGCCTGGGCTAAAGGCGGCTGAGCGGTGGTGAGGATAATGGAGTGTGTTCTATGGCAACGTGGCCTTCTGCCTGCCAGTGTGGTGTCTGGTGAGCACGGCCGGAGGCCGCGGAGCAGCTGAGTCCTGGGCAGGATCCGCTGCAGAGGAAGAACTGGAAGCAGTGCTGAGGCTGGGGGGGGCCGACTCCCACCAGGAAACTCTGACGGGAGGAGGAAGAGAACGCCAGGGTGAGGTGAGGTGAAGCTGGCAGCAGGAGTGGAAATGTTGGGTTGAATCTCCAGCCCTGGTTCTCTTGGATGCATTGTGCTTCTCAGCACCAGCTCAGGGACAGGCAGGGACTGTAGCTGAAGCGGTGTGTCTTGTCTACCCCAAGCATCTGCATGGCAGGTTGGAGCACCGAGCCCTGTTGCCTGCCCACCTTGTCCTGCCAAAGCCTTTCAGCAGCGCTGTGAGACCGGACCTTCGGTGGGGATGGCAGAGGGTGGTTGTCACAGCCGTTGGTAGAAATCCCAGAGGCGGGCCGTCCGGCCCGGGCGCCGGCGGCCCCGCCGGCGGCCGCCTGCGTGGATGGTGCGGGTTGGGGACAGTTTTATCCTTGAGGGAGCTTTGTGTTCTTGTTTCAGTGGAATGCTGGAGATTAATTAGTTCACAGTGCAGAGGTGCCAACTAAGAGCTCCTTGTTCACAGTGTGTTGGGGCCCGAGTCTCGTGCTGAACATCTCCCCACGCCTGCCGAAGTTTCTCTACTGCTACACGGATGGATGTGTTTTCAGCAAAGGCTTCCACGTGGAAGATTTGAAAAAATAAAGAGTAACCCCAGGCTTGGAATCGTGCTGCCAGGGAGAATGTTTACAAGGAAGCAGCCCGATAAACAAGGAAATTCAGTGAGTTGCAAAGAGGTGAAATTTTACAGTGTGGCAACAATTCCCAGCTTGTCAGAGCCTCACAGTGGTCCTGGCCACCTTGGGCCGACTGCAGGATCTTCGTTTTTACAGGCAGCCTCAGGAAGCTAGGTTGGGCTGAAAAAGTAACAGAATTACGTGGAGCTTGTCTGAGTCACTGACCCTACATCTCCACCAGTTCTTTCGGGGCACTGCTTGTGGAGGAGGACAGAGGCTGCAGCTGAGAGAGGAGATCTGCCCTTTCTGGTCACCACCAATTTCAGATCTCCTCCCCTAGCCTCTCCCAGTCTTTTGTACTTTCCGTGCTAATCCATTCAGTGCAGCAT